AACTATCCATCAGATATTTAATGATACGCGTCTGGCGATCCTTGCGATATTCCTCGGGTATAGTGATGAAGCCGCGCAAACCTTCAGTGATATTGCGCATTTTACCATCCTCTAAATTCTTCCAAATCCAGTGTGGAACGTAAAACATGAGTCCCTGAAGAAAATTAAAAAAAAGTGGACGATTTTTTAACTTGTGATTTCGTCTTATCAAAAAGATATGGTTTCATGCACCTGAAGGAATAATACGAATGGCACCCATTGATAATAGCTGTGGTAACGTTTCTCCTGTCCAAACTCATTGCCCAAACCATGCGCTGCCACGTCGGTACCGATCTGTCGATGCTGTTGACCAGGTATGGTGAATGTGTATGTAATCCAACAGAAAGTGTTGATAACATGCATTGGTATGGAGCCATCATTGATGCAGGCGATGGGATCACCTAAGTGGAAAAACAAATAAATTTTGAGTTATTATTTGAAACAGTTTAGAAAATGTGCTTAGTAACTATGTTTATGCTTTATAATAAATACGTATGTATGTTTATTGATTTGGTTATTAAATTTTTATCAACAAGCTCTGTAGGTGGTAAAAAATTCTTGGATATTAAATATTTGGCATAAATTATATTTTATAGAACACATTGCACCTCAGTGTCGTTCTCTCAGAAAGTGTTATAATAATAACATTTTTGGCGCTTAAANCTTTATATACGTTCTAAAATTGTTAAAAAATGATTTATTCCCAAGGACGCATTGCCTCCGAGCTCACCTCTCTGTAATCCAATGCACTTTTGCATTTGGGGTTATATGCTGCAGATTGTAATCCCATCAATTTTTTTACTATCTTATTGACCACAACTGAATGTATGTATGTAGATATGAGTGTTTGTACGTACGTACATATTTATATGCTTTTTTCAGCTCATTAGTTCCATGCTTAAGTTTTTTAACTGTCAGTAATTATTTGCAACGAAGAATACAGTTTTTTTTGTGATTCCAACACTTGACCTGGAAAACAATTACAACTATAACTAGCTAATTAACTAGTCGCTTAGTTAAATAAAAACAAACAACTTGCTTCGCTCCTCCCCTAATGCCTGCCGCGTCACAGTTTTAAATGACTTGAGTTGATAATCCCTGCAGCAGGCACTCTGATTTCTTCCGCCCACTCGGCATCATTATAAAATGCGTGACAAGCTAAGCTGCGCTTAAAACTCTACATATTGCCCATGCTGGCTCAGTTTATACATTTGTAAGTTACATATATGTATGTACGTATGTATGTACATAAGTTTTATAGAACTGTAAATAAACAAGATCAGCAACACTCATGAGGCGAGTGCAATGCATGTAGCGTACACACATCAAATCATGCATATACACCTGCGGTCAACTAATTAGCAACGAAATTCAAAATGATTTTGTTTGTAACTTATGTTTACTTATTTATTTTTAATAATTTCCATTTAAATATAATTCAATCTATGACAG